CCTACTATTTCATTTTCTTCAAAGCCATCGTCATTTCAGTGTGCACATGCTCTTTTTACTTTTACTACTTTGTGACTTCTAGAGTGCTAAATTTGTTCCTAAATTTAGAATGATTTCAATTTTACTCGGCCCTTATCTCTGTGTAACTGCTGACTCCCCCTTCTTATATCTGAGTAAATTGGTTTGGTTTAGTTTGTCTTCTTCAGTCAGTCTTTTAAGGAATGTACAAGCTAGATGGTTCGGGTGTATTTTGATTACATCTAGTTGATTTACAAATTTTCTTTTCTTCCTAAAGGGAGTATCTAATTACATATAACTTTAAAATTTTCTTTTGCTTGTGTGTAGCTTGTATTACCTTCTAGCTTTCCTGACAGATTGGTTTCATCATAGACCTTGAAAAAAAAAATGAATCTGGTGCACTCTGTAAGAATAGGGAGGTGGCTGAGGGAAGGCTCTGGGGTTGGACTTGGTGGGTATGAAGCTAAGCTCTGCTGCTTATTAGCTGTGTGATCTGGGGCAAGTTTCTTGACCTTTCTGGGCTTTGGTTTAGTTTGCTTGTGTTAAATGAGGGTACCAGAAGTAGCAATCTCAAAAAGTTGTTGTGACGATTGGCTAATCCTTGTGAAGTTCTTTCTTAGCATAGATAACCTGTAACTGGCACTTATTATAGTACAGCTGTTACCGAACTATAAGAAAAGCCATTAGAGGAAGATTTCAGTTTTAGGACATGGAGCAACAGTTAGTTGGTAGAAGTGATCGTGGTGACGCTGGTATCTAAGGATTGTTAGCTCAGTGTTAAGAGTGCTGTGTTAAAGTCCTCTGGTGCATGTGGATATGTGGTTATAGCTCATTCAGTGCTAGGTATCAAGACTGAGGAGCAGGAGACGTTTGAAATGGAAGTGGTTGTCGAATCCATTTGTTGCATGCATCAAAAATAAAGATACATTTGAAGTGGTATTGGAAATCGCTGGGGCAAAGCATCTTACACAAGTTATGTTTATGCACAGTTTGGGGTTTGGCATAGTGAGCTATGCTTCTCTGCCAAGATTAAGGAATAGGATTTCTGCCTGTAAAAGCGGAGCTGAGAAGTTGGGTTCTCGTTTTTTGTTCCTCACTGGCTGTTCTGTGTGCTTGGGGAGATCGCTGCCTCCTCCCTACCCCGCCCCCCCAAGCAGGATTCTGATTCCTGAAAAAGAGCTAACAGTTAGCCCTCCTGGTGAGGATTAGAGTAGATGGTATCTTTGAAAGCAGGTGGAGTGTTAAATTACAAAGTAAATGCAAATGTGAGTTACTTTGGTATAGAAAAAACTGTTAGCTGAGGAATTCTTGCCTTTTTACAGCGAAGATTTTATTCTGTGGGTCTCTTGAGTTCTACAGTCCCCAGATAAATACTTCTTTCGAATGCCCAGCCTCAGGGGCTCTTGCACCCCAATATGTAGGTAAAGTTCCTTGTTACTCCAGTCTAACTTCTTTCCCTTTGATCCCAGAGAAACCTGCTGCGATTTCCTTCCAACACCTAATGTTAAATGTCCTTTCTACCTCTTTGTCTTCGTTTACCTCAGATATCTTCCTATCATCAATAATACTTAGCTGTGAGATACTCTGGTCTTCCAGCTTGGAGTTGCTGTTCTGTGTTCGTAGTTTTCCTCTTCTTTAATCCTCCTGCCTCCTGGACTAATTTCAAGCCAGGTACGACTTAATTTTCCTTTGTGTTGCTTGGTTCTAGCACTTTCTCTGTACTTCCTCCCCAATTGCTGCCCTCTCTGCCTCTACACTACCACAGCGTCAAAGGACTTCTTCCTGAAGCTTCACTCAAATAGTTCGATTGGTTTGCAAGCCTGAGGTTTCTTCAGCAAATCAAATCCAAATTTGTAATCCTGTATGTTTAAGGCCCTCTGCCACATGGCTCTTGCTTTCCCTTCACCCCCACTAGCTACATTTTTGCTTCTTCATAGTCCTGACCAATATTCCCGTTAAGGTGGGAGTGTTCTCAGACACTTCCCTTTCCTGTCATACATCTTTTTTTTTTTTTTTAA